CTGCCTCTTTTTCTTCTTCTTCTTCTTCTTTTTTTTTTTTTTTTTTGTTTTTACATCTTTGATTCTTTAATTTTTTTTTTCAACGTTTATTTATTTTTGGGACAGAGAGAGACAGAGCATGAACGGGGGAGGGGCAGAGAGAGAGGGAGACACAGAATCGGAAACAGGCTCCAGGCTCTGAGCCATCAGCCCAGAGCCTGACGCGGGGGCTCGAACTCACGGACTGCGAGATCGTGACCTGGCTGAAGTCGGACGCTTAACCGACTGCAGGCGCCCCTACATCTTTGATTCTTAACCTGTCTCGTGAAAGCATATTTGCAGGCCTAAGTGGATTTGGTTTTCCTCTTTCCAGGTTGCCTGTGGCTATGCGCACACATTAGTGTTAACAGATGAAGGCCAAGTGTATGCTTGGGGTGCAAATTCTTACGGCCAGTTAGGCACTGGCAATAAAAGTAACCAGTCCTATCCTGCACCTGTCGTTGTGGAAAAGGACAGGTAATATGTGCATTTTCAAAACAACTTGCATGTTCTTTAGTGATTAAACAGAACTTGGACGTGATACAGAATTGTGGGGAAACTTACTGCTAATATTAGAATAGTCTTTCACCAGAGCATTCATTCCTCTTTAAAATTGGCTTTTGAACCCTTGGGGAGTTTGTATGTTAAATACTCTACTTTCATTTACCCCTATTTCAGCCACTGTACACAAACAACAAGGACTAAGCCTCCCACAGCTGTTCTACATTATTCCTCTCCCTCACAAATTACCTTTTCCTCCTCCTTGTTTTCTGTTTTACATTAAGAGGAAGTTGATGATGCTTGAGGTTGATTTTCTGTGGCTTAGAAAAACAAAAGTACCTTAGATAGATTATAAAGCCATTCACTCAGCTACGTGTAAAATTTGCCAGTTGAAAGGATAAGACCATCTCATGATTTTAGTTCCCAAGCTATCACTATGAGGCAGAGTATAGTGGTTAGAAAATTAAGACTTAGTTTTGCCCACTTGTTTGCAAGGTTGTGTCAAGTAATTAACATATCCAAAATTTTCTTCCAGTTATCCTACTACTTTTGAAAGCCCTTTGAATGTCTCAAACATGGCCATAGCACTGCCTTTTCACTCTTATCTCTTGACACAGTAGTATAGGACAAAAATATTCATTATTGTGTCTGTTAAACCAGGTTTATAATCATTGTAGGAATGAATACTGCTATTTTCATTTTTATTGTACATACTAAGTTTTGTTATATCTGATTTTAAAGTAAGCATATGGATATATAGATTATCTTGCATTTGTATGCAATTCTTTCATATTTTCCTGTTGGAATATTTAACAATAAAAGTGAAGAACCAAATTGTCATTTTCAACCCCCTTGATTTTCATGTGAGTATTATAAAACTGGCTAATTTTGTTTAACCTATGGTAAATAGGTTTTAAAAAAAAAACTATTTTTGTTTTTTTCCCCCAAAATCTCAGAATAAGAACCTGGACCTCATAAGGATTGGGGAGAAGGAGAGGGAATGGAGGTCAGGAACTGGTGGGAATGTACTAGATGTGTGCAGCCATGCCATTGCCACCCCCGTTTAGGTAGTTCAGAGCTCCTCAGTGAAAAGAGAAGGGACAGTCTTGAGGCTTTGAGCAATCACGAAAATGCTTCAGTTTAGCAAATCGGGTCAGTAGGGACATTTAGTATTTAGACAAACAGTAAAGTGTTAAAGGATCAAATAAAGGATCAAATCAAAACAACGTGTTTGTATAGTACTTTACCATTTTTATGGTGCTGTCACACTTTCTGTAAATTTGAACTCCTCTGTCCCTGGACTTGCCAAATCCACTACTGTCTGCCCACCAGCAGCTTGTCCCACATTGCTCTGCTGGTCCCTGGTCGTCCCAGGATGAGCACCAGGTCTTCCCACTCCCATCATGCTAGGCCAGAAAGAGTGTAGGACAGCTTGGGGAAGAAGGAAAAAGAGGCAGAAAAGGAGGGAAGGGGAGTTATGTTGAGTGCCAACTCCTTACGTGGTACTTGAGAGTATTGCTTGTTTATTTTAAAAACTTAAGGTTTTAAAAAAACTTAACTTTTTTCAAATTTTGAATTATAAATGCAAAAAAAGTGGAAATAGCTCCACACTTGCACACTTGCTGTTGTCCATGTAGTCATTATTTGGGCTACAGAAATCATGGCTGAATGTTTTGAATGCAATATTCCTACTTTTCTGTTTTCCATGCCTGAATTCGCTGTGGTAACCCCTGAGCTTGCAGGCTCTCCATCACACCAATATTGCGAGGGAGGAATTTGTAAGTCTGCTGGGACTTGTTTTGCATGTACCCACCCTTTTCAGCGACTGAAATTTGCAGATATGTTATGACTTATCTCTCAAGAACTCACTTCTGACTCTTGGGGCCCATTTCAGGGAAGTTTGACTAACTAGAAACAAAAGGATTGAATGTAGGGTGGGGTGGATCTTCAGGTCCTGGTTACCTGTTCACAGAAGTGGAAAGTGAAAATCTGTGTACATTGGATCCTTTGCTTAAACGACAACCCAAGGAAAACCTTTTAAAATTTTTTCCCACAGAGATCTATGATGAAGAATGCTAATGACATTTGTTAGCAATTTATGTTCACATAAAAGTAATTTTAATGACTAAAGTAATTCTCTTCTCTCTAACCCAGTCATTCCCAATCTTTCTGAAGTCTCAGTACTTTGATTTACTAGCATTTATCTTTGTTCTTAAAGTTCCATAAAAGCATAGTTGAAGTTAAATTGATTTAAAGCTAACTTTGCCTTGAATTTTTGTGAATTTTGTGACACCTTGATAATTGGTAGTATGTTGGCCTCTTACAAAACCAGGCTTGGGAATTACTGCTCTGGATCTTTTTATTATTACTATTTCTTCTTCATTCTTCTTCTGTCTCACAAATTACCTTTTTTCCTCTCCTCATTGTTTTCTGTTTTATATTCTTCCTCACTCTCTGCTTTTTCATTTCTAGTACTTCACAGCCATTAAGCTGCAGTCGTTGGGGATCATTCCATTGAGGTGACACAAAACTCATTTATTATGAATGTCTAGTACTTTTTTTTTTCATTAAGCATGGCTACAAAATAAAATGTGACATATGCCAGACATTCTGACAGTAAAGTTTAGCTCAGTTTATAGTCATCGTCTGTTGCATATTAGACTGGAAAATCTGAGCTTCAGAATTTTGCTTCTTGGTATGAATCAGATTTAAGAACAGATGACCTTAGGCAACAGCTGGATGCGTTGGCAGTTGGTTGGGTCCCAAGCTTAGACTTGAAGGTTCCCTCTAAACTTTCTTCGCTCTTGTTCCTGTAGCAGCTGCTGCCGTCAGCCAAGCCCGTGCCCCACCCCTGACTTCCCATGTGCTGCTAGGTGTTCCAGGTAAACTTCACGAGGCCATGTTAAGGGAAGGCCACTGCTCCACAGCCTTCTGCATCTTGACCCCTGTGCTGTGTCTGTTCCAGCCTTCCTCCACCAAGCAGTGTTCCCTCCTCCTGTAAAGGCAAAGGCTACTTCCTTTCCACGGAGGCTAGTAAAGATATTTCAGAAGTGAATGCAGGAGTTAAATTATTTTGGTTTTCTGATGTTGGGTAGTTGAGCCCAGAAGGACACTGTTATGTTCCCATCAGTTACATTTTTCATAGAACATCATCAGGGAAGAGAGGCTATCTGTGATTTTAAGTGGTTTCCCAGAGTTCCTGCAGCCACTGGTAAACACTTCAGTCACCAGAAGAAACTGTTTTGAGTGTGCACTCTGCTGTAGCTGATTTCATTTACTCACAAGGCTGTGAAAGGATTGCTACCTGGATTCTGCTCTCCTCACTTTTTTTTTTAAGATGATAAAATAGATGATAAGTGTTTTAAGTACCTTGGCCTCCATAGGCTGCTGTCTGGCCCTCAGCCCTGTGCCCTGCCCCTCGCACCAAGCCATGTAAAATGAAGTGTGTTGCTGCCCTCACATTTGGTGTAATGTGTGAGGGTGGATGGCCTTTTCTTTGAACAGATGCCTTTTCTTTGAACAAATGCATTTATTCCATTTCCTTGCCTTTTCTTTGTTGAGAAGGATATGCTTATTGAGAAGCCAAATAGGATTGGCAATATTCCCTGTGTGGGCAAGGAAGATTCTTTTGTAAAAAGCACATATTAGAGGTTTGGGCCCATTCACTGACTTGACCATGCAAATAGGGAAGGTCTCACTGTCTGAATTGATCATTGGAAATATAGTCTCTGTGTGAGGGAGGCTTTGTCACTTAAAATGCCAAGAAGTAGTAAACCTGTTAAGCCTCTACTGCTGGCTACTATTTGTACACCAGACTCTGTGCTTGGTGTTTAACATTTTATCATTTAATTTGTATACATACAAATTAGCTTTATTTGTAATTAATTAGCAATTAGCTTGCAACGTGATGGAACAGAGGCTCGGGAACATTTACGCCGTCACACAGCCTAGTGGTAGAGCTAGGATGTGGCCCTCGGTGTGACTGACCCCAGCATCCAGGCTCTCCACCGTTGGTACAGCATAGCTTCTTGTGTGGTACTCCCATCTTCAAGAGCTAAGAGCTGCCCTTGAATGAATCCCTGAAATGATTGGGACCGCACATGAAAACAGTACACCTCACCCTTCTGAGGCAAGCCACCACGGCAGTGTTCAGCTTGCATGATGACCATCTTCCCTCCTTGTCTGGGAAACGGCCAATTAAAAGAGGCAGTGGAGGGATGTCTCCACCCTCCAATTGCTAGGCTGTCAGTGGGGTCTTCCCATCCCTCAGTCGCTCTGTGTTGTTCTGTCCTTCCCAGTTAGTCAATAAAATAACCTAAAAATTGTGCTTAATCAGACACCTTACTGGGGAGAGAAAGACACTTGGGGAGAGAGAAATAAGCCAGTGATTTAGCCTGCCAAGAACTTGTAATCTAGCAGAGTAGGTGAGACATACCTCCCTGAGAAGTTAAGGGCCAGGCTGGAATGGTGTGGATGGGATGAATGGCAAGAGTGCAGGTGAGCAAGAGACCTCTTTCTCTGGGGCCATTTGAGCTGAGCCTTGGAAGATGGGCAGGATTTCTAAGGCAGAGAGAAAGGAAAGAGCATTCCTGCACAATGACTTTGTGAAGAAAAATGTTGAGGGGCAGTGAGTACATCTGTTTGTTGGAACATAGGGTATGTAGGTAAATGTGATTTGAAAGAGGATTGGATACAGGCGCAAGACAAATTATGGAAGGTCTTGATGTCACACATATAGATTTTATCTTGTGGGAAGCCACGGAAGGTTTGAGAGTACTGACGAGGATGCTGTTTTCAGAGGATTGTTAACCTGCCAGCCTTGTGTGATCTGGATCGGAAAAGAGAGAGAGTCTAAGGCATGGAGACCACGGAGGCTGTTGCTTTGGAGTCAGATATGGGCTGTGCCTGACCTAGGGTGGTGGCAGATGGGAGAAATTATCAAAGAGAGAATCTATGTTATTTGTTAATTGGATATTCTGAAAAAAGTGAGGAGGGAGAAGTCAAAGATGACTCTGAAGCTCTGAACCTAAGTCACTGAGGATCTTGGTGCCACCACCTGCTGTGGGCAAAATCAAGGTGGCAACCTCACTTTGGGTAAAATAGTTTACTCTCTTTTGTGAATCTGTACAGCGGCTTATTCTTAGAGAAAGTTAATTATTTCTAAATGAACAAAAACAGGGCTTTCTATTAGGAAGTATTCTGAGAACTAGCTCCCTGGCAATTGTGAACTTATCAGAAAACTGCTCTCTTGGGCTCTCAAAGATAGAGTCCTATGAGTTAGAACTACTGACCTTACTGTTTGCAGTGTGGATTGGGGTGGCCCACAGCATGCTGCATCTAACACTAAAATCGGTAAAGTTTTAATGAAAATATTTCTTGATACTGGATCAAGACCTGGGTTAAGTAGCCCAAGTCTTTATCACTGTTTTGTTTGTTTTGGCCTTTACCCTTGGATTGTTTTTGCATTTCACAACGGGACAGTATATATTTTTGTAGGCCTGCGGGCTGGAAGTGGTAAGGTAGATCTTTATTAGTTTGTCATTGAAGGACAGCTTAAACCTAAATAACTGTTTCGTGCCTGAAAATCTAGATTAAGTCTCGTTTTGTTTTTTAAATCCGTTAAAGTTAAGGGAAGGAGAAATCAACTTGTTTCTTCTGTTTGCCACGTTCACTTGGCATTTATTTGTGAACCTAGAATTATAGAGATTGCAGCCTGCCACTCAGCCCACACATCGGCTGCCAAGACCCAGGGCGGGCACGTGTACATGTGGGGCCAGTGCCGGGGCCAGTCCGTGATCCTGCCTCACCTCACGCACTTCTCCTGCACCGACGACGTGTTCGCCTGCTTCGCCACTCCTGCTGTCTCTTGGCGCCTCCTGTCCGTGGGTGAGTGGTCTCTGCCCATTTGGGTGAAAAGTAGCAAGACAACCCCGGTGATAGTAAAAGGACTTTTTAGGTGCAGAATCATATATTTTCTCTCTAATGGGCTCCTGTGAAAGGAAACTAATTTGATGGATTAATTTTTCTTGAAAGTATCAGAAACCAGGATCACATACTAAATTAAAAGCTATTTCATTTGACTGCTTTTTAGTGTTCCTGAAAAACTATTCTCTTTTATTTTTAGCTAGTCTATTTACTCAAACATTCAAAAATTTCATTGAGGGGGCGGTTTGGGACTTTTTAGTTGTTCTGTCAGGTTTACAAGGAGATGTGTGTGAGGCTCTTACCCTTAATGATTACAGAGACGTGAAAATCTGTATTTAGGGGAAAGAAAGCATCACTCAGCCATTTATTTCGGGTATTTTCCTGAGTGTCACAAGAGCGATGTTGTATTCTGGCCTGTATTTCTACTATGTCTGTCCTTAAGCCTGGAAACATTGGTGTTCCTCTGTAGAACCTGACGACCACCTGACGGTGGCAGAGTCGCTCAAGAGGGAATTTGACAACCCCAGTACAGCAGACCTGAAATTCCTGGTGGACGGAAAGTACATTTATGCACATAAAGTCCTTCTCAAAATTAGGTAAGGAGTCGTCTATTTTGAGACTTGAAACAAACATATGATTTTCTAAGTGTTCACAGAACTAGAGGAGGCACTTCAGTAGTTATGAAAATAACGTAAGGCTGATTTCACCCTTGCGAGCATGCAGTGCAGCCGGGGAAACACAGGACACGGGAAACGAGAACCACTGGGGCCTGTGGGGGAGAGAGTAAATGGCTACGGGCTTCCTTAGACACTTTGCGGGTGGTCTGTCCAGCCTGGTGTCAGAGTGGCTGGCTGCCACCTGGGCTTCCTGCCCAGGACCCAAGCTTCGTCACTTTCCTTGTCAGTTGTGGGACAGTGAACTTTTAGATGCTTGGGAAAAAGAGAAGGTAAGGCTTTTGCAAGGCAGCAAGGTCTGGGGTAAAATTAACACCGAGATTTTAAAATTCAGATTTATTGAGGCATCATTTTTGAGCAACGAGCTGCATCCATTTGAAGTGTGCAGTTTGAGGAGCTTTGACATATATTTATGCTGTGAAACCACGGCCCTATATCAAGACATAGAACATTCCTGTCGTCCCTCAAAGGTCCCTCATGCATCAGCCCTGGGGCAAGCACTGATTTTCTTTCAGTCACTATAGATTCGTTAGCATTTTCTAGAAATTTATGTTAATGGAATCATATAGTCTGTATTCTTTTGTGCCTGGCTTCCTTCTCTTAGCATAATGATTTTAATTTTTTTTTTTTTTTCAACGTTTATTTATTTTTGGGACAGAGAGAGACAGAGCATGAATGGGGGAGGGGCAGAGAGGGAGGGAGACACAGAATCGGAAACAGACTCCAGGCTCTGAGCCATCAGCCCAGAGCCCGACGCGGGGCTCGAACTCACGAACCGCGAGATCGTGACCTGGCTGAAGCCGGACGCTTAACCGACTGCGCCACCCAGGCGCCCCATAATGATTTTAAAAACCATCATGTTGTTGTGTAACAGATATTTAAATCCTGCTACAATGAATCACACACTCAGTATGGCATTTTAGTCTCAAGTACGCCTCTTTGGTTGTGCTGTCCAACATTCCTTCACTCCTGCTATAGCCCCTAAACCTTCATAAAAGAGACAGGGGCATTACTTCGCTAGGGCAGCTGTAACAAAGTGCCATACACTGAGTGGCTTCAACAACAGCTCTGGAGGCAGAAGTCCAAGATCAAGGTATTGGCGGGATGCATTCCTCCCAAGGGAGAATTCGTGCCTCTCTCCCAGCTTCTGGTGGCTTGCTGGCAATCTTCGGCATTCCTTAGCTTGGGGCATGATTGACCATTCCAGTCTTTACGTGGGGTTCTCCCTGTGTGCATGTCTGCATCCAAATTCCCCATTTTTATAAGGACACCCGTCATCTTGGATTAATGTCCACCCTGATGATCTCATTTTAACTTGATTACCTCTGTAAAGATCCTTTCTCCAATTATTGTTATATTCTAAGGTTAGGGCACCAGCATATGAATTTTGGGTGGAGGGGCACAATTCAACCCATAGCAGGAGGTAAAGAAACAAAATGACTCAGTTTATGAAAAGAAACCCCCCAATTTCCATAAATGCCACGCTGCGCACAGGGTGCGGAAATGACACCTCGGAGTCAGCTCCGCTACATCCGGTTTGCATCTGCAGCCTCGTCCAGTAAGTGGTGGTCACTACACTTCCAGCCAGCAGAGGAAGCGAGGGACCAGGATGGGGACACAGAGGTGTGCAGTGTGAGGAGAATCCTGTGCCACGCCGTGTTTCCTTTCTCCTTGTCAGTTCCCCTTGAAGCCCCACAAGGATGTGTCCCTCAGGAGGGTCATCTGCTCTCGCCCAGAAGCTAGGACCTCACATGCTCCTTTCTTCCTTCATTCAGGTGTGAGCATTTTCGTTCTTCATTGGAAGACAACGAGGATGATATCGTAGAAATGAGTGAGTTTTCGTATCCTGTTTACCGAGCCTTCCTGGAATACCTGTATACAGACAGCATCAGCCTTTCCCCCGAGGAGGCAGTAGGTAATCGCCACCACACTCTCCCAAGAGATGGGCACAATGCTGAGTAACGCGCAGGGTGGAAGTGGCCGTGAGGGCGATCGCACACATAGTTCTGTGTCCAACCCACACTCTTTTCCCTGGTTACTGCTTCATACAGAGGGTGACTTGGTGGATATCAAACCGTCAGACTGTGGAGCGGGTGCCATTCTTCCATAACTACCGTATGTAAGGAATGCGCATGACTGTTCGGCAGCCACACCTGCCGCCCCTGAGATGTCTACGTTAGAAAGAAGATGAAATGCACGTAGTAGTAATAAGCCTTGTGGTCTCCATAACCGGGAATTGCCCTCTAGACGGCTTTGGGACAGAACGCTGTGGGACTTCTGGGGCCTTCTGTCCTGAAGGTAGTGTGTGGCGTTCACTGCACCTCAGGGGTATGGACAGTTAAAAAAAAAAAAAAAGCCACATAGATCATTTGTGGAAGAAAGGGAGCAGATACCCGAGGGAAGAGCCTTCTGGGAAACAGTGAGTGCAGAGGTCTGAGACAGGCACAGATTTGTGGAGGAAGAGGAAGAAGGCCAGGGCAGGTGGAGTGAAGTGAGACTCAGTGCGGTAAGAATTAGGTCAGGCAACGGGATGTGGGCAAGAGCATGACTACCCTTGGGGGCCACGGTGAAGAGCTTGAGTTTTAATCTTGGTGTGGTGGAAAGCCTTGGAAGGTTTTGAGCATGAGGCTTGTGTTATTTAGGATTTGCTTTAACAACAACATTTTAAAAACTGTGGTTTAAAGGAGACAGTGCAGGGCATCCCTGCGTGTGGCCCGTGCTCATAGTCCAGGACCGCGTTTGCATTACTGGCAGGATGGAGGAAGGGACGATGACGAAGGGGCAAAGGGAAAATCCTAGTGTCTCTTAAGGAAGGGTCCTGGAAGTGCTACATGAGAGGCTGGGGGAAGTGGTAGAGGAAGAAAGGGAGAACAGGTCTGTGTGCTGGTGGGGCTGAGGCACAGCAGCTTCCATGACAGGAGTGATGTGTTTTAAAAGATAGTAATTATGGGGCGCCTGGGTGGCGCAGTCGGTTAGGCGTCCGACTTCGGCCAGGTCACGATCTCGCGGTCCGTGAGTTCGAGCCCCGCGTCAGGCTCTGGGCTGATGGCTCAGAGCCTGGAGCCTGTTTCCGATTCTGTGTCTCCCTCTCTCTCTGCCCCTCCCCCGTTCATGCTCTGTCTCTCTCTGTCCCAAAAATAAATAAAAAACGTTGAAAAAAAAATTTAAAAAAAAAGATAGTAATTATGACGGTTCAGGTATAAGGTGATGACGATACCCTGGATTAGGGTGGCCTAGCGGCAGAGGTGTTGAAAGAGATCCTATTCTGGATGTATTTTAAAATGGGGCTGATGGCACGTTGGGGTGTGTGGAAAACAGAAGTAACGACTGCTCTAAGCCGTGGGTTCTGCTCTGAGCCGGTGGGTTCATGGAAGTAGCATTCAAGACGATGAGGAAGATGGAGAGCAACAGGTTTTGCCCTTGAGTTTGAGAAGGCAAAGGAGTTTTGAGTTGCTTACTAGCCATCTGCACTGGAAGGGCAGGCCTGCCATCTTTCTATACCCACTGCCAGCTACACCCTGCATCACAAGGGATGTGTGGGCACCCCAGCCTGCATGGCCAAGCTCCATTCACCTAGGCCACCGCTGGGGCTGGGCATCTGCACATTGGTGGCATGGTCAGGAAGGGAGCAAATGTCCACACAAATGGCCTCAGGGCCAACTAGGTAGGGAATTCCAGAGTCCCCTGTAACCAAAGTGTGGTCTAGGAGTGGACGCCTGGCTCTTGGCCACTGTGGTGAGGACTGTGCCTGGAGGAGGTGCAGATCTGGGCTGTTTTGAGCAGGGGCTCAGGGCAGGATCGTCTCTGAGGGCAGCTCAGGAGAACACATTTATGTGATTCTGCAGTTTGGAGTGTGGACTAGAGATAGGAATTTGGGGTTGCCAAGAACTGGCCAAAAACAAATGAGCCATCACAGGTCTCAAGATTTCAGAAGATTTTAGTATCCTCCACTGGGCCATGGGCCTTGCCGCTGTAATTTTGGTAGTATTGGTCAGGTTACGATGAAAACAAGTTTGCACCCGGCACTCCTACATACGCAAGACGCAGTGGCAGATGGATGAAAAAACGGTTGTTTTAAGATTGGTGAAATCCCACCTCTTTGTCTCTTAGGCCCCTGGGAAGCACTTTGCAGGTTAGCTTGATGAGATGTGATGATTTTCTGGCAGAGGATTCAGCTAACCTTTTGATCAGATGACAACCCAGACTGGATGTAGAGCTAGTGAGTGTACCTCTCTGAGCGTGGGGCGTGCTGGTCTCGGGATGCTTCATCCTGTTCATGCCAGGGCAGGAGGCCTTGCACAGTGTTTCTAGCCAAGCCTTGTATCCAGACACAGCTCCTTTCATAAGTATTTTCACAAGTGTTCCTAGCATTCTGTATGCGAATTAACAAATCCCCTGATGGAGATTTAGATAGCCATATCCTTAACTTATTGTGTTAATCACTCCATCGTGAATTATGTGAAAGTAGGTGACAGATAATATAACGGGACTCATCAATATTTACAGGTGGTATTTAAAAAAAATTTTTTTTTCAACGTTTATTTATTTTTGGGACAGAGAGAGACAGAGCATGAATGGGGGAGGGGCAGAGAGAGAGGGAGACACAGAATCGGAAACAGGCTCCAGGCTCTGAGCCATCAGCCCAGAGCCCGACGCGGGGCTCGAACTCACGGACCGCGAGATCGCGACCTGGCTGAAGTCGGACGCTTAACCGACTGCGCCACCCAGGCGCCCTTACAGGTGGTATTTTAAACTGAGGGGCAGGGTTGGTGCTGGAAGTCACTTAGGGAAATAAGTGAAATTAGAATCTGAGGATTGAACCCTGGGGCACTCAAAACATTTGGAAGTTAGGAAGAACGGCCGAATCAAGAGACTGAAGAGAATTACGGAGAAGAAAAACATAAGTAACACAGTTTCAAGAAGAGAAGCCTCACCAACCACATCAAATTCTGTGTAAATGTTGAGTAGGACAAACCAGACAACAGCCCGTTGGATTTGGCTCCATGGAAGCATTCGTGACATCCGGGAGTGGAGGGGATGGGATTCTGCTGGAATGGCTTAGCGGGAGAAGGGGAAGGGAGAAAATGGAGACAGCAAACGGGATGTTCCCCAGGTTTACAGAGAAACGGGGGAGACTGATGGGAGACAGACACGTGTCCATGTGCTGATGGAAATGACCCAGGAGAATAAGTGACAGTGCGGGGTCGGCCTTTACAGGAGAAATATGAAAGCCATTGTCACTGTGTGTCTGCTTTTCCACAGCTACTTGTTTGTGTATTGTATTTGCTCAGTTCACACATCAACAATCATTGCTTGAAGGGTTGAGTGAGTTTAATGGGGATGCTTGTAATCACTCCCCCTAATAAACATCTCTTCCCGCCAGGATTGCTGGATTTGGCTACCTTTTATAGAGAAAATCGTTTGAAAAAGCTCTGCCAACAAACTATCAAGCAAGGAATCTGTGAGGAGAATGCCATTGCCCTGCTTTCAGCTGCTGTGAAGTATGATGCTCAGGTAAGAAAAGCACCCTTTCAACTAGCTGACCTTGTGGAAAGAATGGTAGGTGTTTAGTTCATAAACTAAAATAAACAAGTAAACCGACTAAAAGTACCAGAAAAAGTGACCATTTGTATAATGTTAGGGTGGAGCTCCAAGGAAGAAGCCCTAAATAAAGGAAAGGCTTGACAGGGGCACCTGGGTGGCTCAGTCAGTTGAGCGTCTGACTTCGGCTCAGGTCATGATCTCGTAGTTTGTGAGTTCGAGCCCCGTGTCAAGCTCTGTGCTGACAGCTCAGAGCCTGGAGCCTGCTTCGGATTCTGTGTCCCTCTCTCTCTGCTCCTCCCCTGCTCACGTGCTGTCTCTGTCTCAAAAGTAAGTAAAGATTAAAAAAAAAATTTTTTTTTAAAAGGAAAAGATTGATAGGTCTGATTTCAGAAAGAAAAACATATCTAGACATCAGAAATTACCAGCGAGAAAATTAAGAAGTTGATACAGTGGGGAAAATATTTGCAGCATATGGTGAAGCACATTTACCATATAGTTCTATAATACAAACATATAGTTCTTAGAAAACAAAAAGAAAATATTAGCAGTTTGATGGAAGTAAAATGGACCAAAGAACAAAATAGATTTATGAATAAATGAAAAATATAAATGAAACTAAGGTATAATTTTTCACTTGTGAAACTGGGGAATACATTCTTAGAGATAATGCAGGCTCAGATTATGTGTTCTCCTGAACAGCTGCTAAGGGTGTGCATTGGGGCAGTCATTGTGGGGGCACTTGGTACCAAATGTATTGAAAGCTTTAAAGGTGTACTTCTTTAAGGAATCCACTTGTAGGAATTTGTCCTAAGGAAGTACTCGTGGATTCAGACAGATTTAGCTTCAAAGGCTAATTGTACTGCAACACTGCTTATAATTTTAAAAAATTAGAAAAAGACAACATGAACAGTAGAGGTTTCTTTAAACTGTAGAATGTTTATACTATGAAACTATGCAGCAACTCAAAATACATTAATTGAAAAATGAACATTTTTAAAAGCATCAATTTAAAAAAAATTTTTTTAAGCAGTTTTTAAAAAGACTGACATTCATTATCTACATAGAAAAAAAGAGACTGAAAAATATACTCAAAGGTCATCTTTGGTGGAATTATGGATGATTTTTATTTCCTATCTTTGCTTGTTTTTTTCTCAACTTTCTACAGTGACTGTGTATTGTTTTGACAATAAAGAAAGGAAAGAAAACCTGTCTTAGAGCTAAATCTTTAGGAAGCAGCCCATTCTTCTTGGAGTCGATTTCCTTTTGTTATAAGGATATCCTCTCTGGTCAAAAAACAGGAACATTTTAGTGGTGGGCAAAAAAAAGTTTGTAACGTCTTTTCTGCTTATTAAAGAAAATTTGGAAGATACAAAAAAGTATGAGGAAGGAGATGACTCATCAAACCAGAGAACATTAACATTTTCATACAGCTGCTTCTGTTTTTTTCCTGTTACATGAAGTATATTTCTCTAAACACTAGATTTTTTTTTTCCCCTTAACATTTAAAAAAAATCTTACCCACCTTGAAACATTGATATTAAAAGCATAGTGAATGTCTTTCATTAACATAATATATTGGGCACTTAAAACATGCAGAACACTTCATGGCTAGGCCAAACTCTTCGCTAGTTTGTGCAAGTCATGGTGATAATCCTGGAGGCTGGCGCCTAATCTCCACTGATGAGGCCGTGGGCACACAGTGTTTCTGCCAGGACTAGGCTTCATTTTCAAGACTTTTTCAGATTCCATATTTATGTCAATTATTTGTATGGCTACCTTCCAGCCTTCTGTTTCCTAGAAAGTAAGCTCCTTGAGGAAAGGCAGGGGCTTTGTTTTGCTCACAATCATAGACCTAATGCCTTAGGGTAGTACCTAACATATAGTAGAAACTCTTTTCATCTAGAAACATTTCAGCTCCTAGGGGAATATAAAAGGGGAGTATTATAACAAATACTGACAGTGGAATGAACAATACAAATACTGTCACTAGAGAAAGGTACGTAGTGCCTATTTCTGAGAATAAAAAATCTGATTCTTTGCACTGGCTGGTATGGAGGAACTTGAATATTTTACTCTGTTATTTAAATGTTTACAAGCATAGGGGCGCCTGGGTGGCGCAGTCGGTTAAGCGTCCGACTTCAGCCAGGTCACGATCTCGCGGTCCGTGAGTTCGAACCCCGCGTCGGGCTCTGGGCTGATGGCTCAGAGCCTGGAGCCTGTTTCCGATTCTGTGTCTCCCTCTCTCTCTGCCCCTCCCCCGTTCATGCTCTGTCTCTCTCTGTCCCAAAAATAAATAAAAAACGTTGAAAAAAAATTTAAATGTTTACAAGCATATATTCACATTAGCTGTACAGTTTTATAACTATTCTTTAGGTATTGCTGTACCAACAATTCTTCCTATTGGCTTTCAAATGCTTGTCCCTTCCTATGTGTCTTGGGAATTTTCATGCTGTGTTGCATTGCATTGGGATATACAAATTTATTAAAGCATTTTTTGTTTTTGTTCCTAGGATTTAGAAGAATTCTGCTTCAGGTTTTGCATAAATCATTTGACTGTAGTAACACAAACTTCAGGCTTTGCAGAAATGGACCATGATCTTCTGAAGAACTTTATCAGCAAAGCAAGCAGAGTTGGAGCCTTTAAAAATTGATCCTCATCTGCAAGAAAGAATTTTTGGTATTTCCATTTTCCCTGCAAAAGCCGGAGAATGACTTTTCCTTAATTGGCTGAATACTTACGTTCTGTCAAAAGAAGGTGGTGGTCAGTCTGCCCTGTGCTGAAGTCTGAAGTTTACTGTACAAGGCATTCCGTGCTCTGATCAGATGTGACTAAGGTCAAGGGAAAAGAAATTAAAATGTCTTATTTACCATTTCCTCTTTCACGTCCCTTAAGTTGGACATTTTTGGTACATTGGTCTAAGTATATGCTATCCTGGCCAAATTTCTGTTCTTGGGCTGATATCACATAGAGAGCTGGACAGTACATTGTCAGCATCCAGAACGGTGCCTTGCATACACAGGCACTCAATTCATTTATTACAAATCTTACGTATGCCCTGAAACAGCTTCATTTGTGGAATACTGGATAAAGGTATAACAAATTGCACAAAAACAAATTTGAGACAGCCCATCACTATTGAGGTTCATATTCTTCTGGTACCTGGTTCTAAGTAATAGTGGCTAACTTAGAGCATTAATTAGAATTCACAAACAGCCTTGACAATTTAATTGTCAAAGTCCCAAGGGCTAATTTTAATTTTCTGTTTACTCTGAGTCATTAAGTTCTCATACGGGATTACTGAATATGAAGTACTGTCTTTGAATGAATGTTGTTTCTGGGCTCATCTGCCTTACATAATTGCATAATGTCTTTTCTTTTTGTGTTGAGAGATTTGCCTGTGTATGTAAAAATGATTATGCGTTTTTCTTGTAGTGGAGTTTTATGTCACTGTAAAACAGTTCTCTTAACCTGGCACAGAATAATTATAAAGTACTAGCTGAAAAGGAACTCATACTTACATTTCATGGACAGCATTAAGAAGAATGAGATAAATTTATACTTTTTCGGTCAAAACAAGTTACCAACTGCAAAAGAAAAACTGGAACGGGATGTAGGATGTAGTGTCAGATTCCTCTAACATGGGTTTCACAATATGGTATGTATTTCACAATATGATATTATGTAAAGAAAACTCTTTTGGAATTAGAAACCTTGTTCTGATGCTGAACTATTTGATAATAAAGTACTTATTTGTAGATAATAGAACAATTGTGTTTTTTTTAATCCCTAATAAGCAGCAAAATTGTATCAACTTTATATCTCTTACATTTATACAAATCCATTTGATTACGCTTATTTTTGGAAGTAGTTACTCAGATAACCTATCATAGCAAAGCCCACCCTAAAACATAAATGGCATATAAACAACATAATTACTGTTCATATTATTGCCTCTGACTACTCTTTATTGGTGAGGTCACTTTTTAATCCTTAGTTTCTCTTGGCTTACCTGTTTTTGCAGACCTTATCTGGTAGAGGCAAAGTGGCCTTGACCTCTAGTTCTTAATCAGAATCCTGTTTTGGGAATTATATAGTCTTATTCAGTTATTTGTTATTTGAAGTTAGCCATATATACCATTTGTTTTCATTGTTTGTTAGATTTGTTGTTTTATCTATCAAAGAAACATTCACACCTGGTTATTATCCACAGCTGTCAGTTTAGGCATTTAGACAACCGCAGCCTGCATTGCTGACTTTTCCTCCTCACCTTCCAATGCTAGCTGGAACGGACCAATGCCTTTACGTCTTCACAAGGTCTTCCGAAACCTTCTCTTCCTTTCTTGCCTATTTCTGACAGGGTCTTAAGCTTCTTTCTTTTATGAAGTCATTTCATGTAAAAACTGGAACACTCAAAGGGAACAGATGAGTTTACTGAGGTATGAAAAAATGGCCTGCCTTTTACCAAACTCCACAATGGGTCAGTAGCCCATGCTGCCACGGTACAAGTTATTAAGAAGGGCTGCATGGATTTTTACCCAGATTTTCTAAGCTCTGTTATGTGTAGGTTTGTGCTGCTATATCTCTCACTTCTTATCTCTTTGTACAACAGAACAATCTATGGAACTCTTGCCAAAGATTCTAATTCAGTGTATTTGAAGTTTCCCAAGTAATCCTGATACTGAGCCAAGTATGAGAATCACTGTTTAACCCTTAAAATCTGGGACTCCAAACAAGAAGGGGCTCATAGACCAGTTTGAGAGATGACGGAGGAGTCCCATGGATACATCGCTGAAAAAAACAGAGCTTTCTCTCTCATCCTGGAGGATAGGCTTGCCATCAACACTCCTATACAGAGGATAACACTTTCTTTCCTTTATTTCTAACAGATGAGTGTAGAGCCCCAGAAACCTTGCTGTTCAGTTAGGGATATGTGAGGGAAAAGGGACATTTTCTATAACGACATCATAAATTAATGGATCCTTCATTTTATAGAAGTTAATCTTAGATTTTCTTTCCCTATGTTCTGTTTCCTCTCTGCTCACACAAGAAGTTCAGTGAGTTAGTGCTTCCAGCATAATTCTCATACGCCTTACACAGAGAAAGGTTAAGATTTTACAAGAATATGGTCATTTGCGAATAGAGGTTTGTGAAGATATCATTTAAAGCTTTTTAAAAGTAAAGGTTAATGTACTGACCTGAGTCATTTTTCAGCTGAGACCTGAAAAATTGCCAGTCATTATGGACCAGACTTGTTGATTTTTATTTAGAGGCAGGATTCCTGACCAGTGATGATGAAAAGCAAACAACAAAAACTATATAGTCTTGTCTGTTTTTTGGTCTATCTTATTAGCCTTCCCCATGCTATTATTACAACAGACGGGCTGGGAAAACTGTAAAGAAAAATGATAAATCATGCCTGTTACTTTCAATTCAGTCTTTGTCAAAGCATAAAAACGTAAACCATACTGATTTTCTTTCACTAAATGCAGTTAAAATCATGATGTTTTCTATTGAGGAAGTAAGTGATGTTAGTCTGTGGAATAAACGTAACCTTCATGTTAAGTTGTCATTATTTTATATTTCAATGCTAGTATATAAGCATACTGCCAAAATAACAGACACAAAAAAAGATTTATGAGAATATCCAGGTTCATACTAAAAGAGATTGTTTTAAATCCCAGACACTATCAGCATTACCAAGATATATTTCTATGTAAGACACTATACTTGTGGTAGAAATATGCTATTTCTAAAGGTAAGGTTTCCTGTTGTCCCATAAAATACATATTTAGTCCAAAGGAAAATTCTACTGAATGAATTGTTACCAATACCATGTACACTGTCACAAAAATGAAAAATAAAAATATGCTTTGAGAGGCAAGTTTCTATGAAATCATCCAGATGGTACTAGAACTACAACATATAGGTTCTTCCTCCCCACCGTTTGCACCAAGAAACTGTAATGAGAAATCAGTAAATGAATTTGAATTTGTCCTTTTTATTCTAAAGAGTTTTTATTATTAGAATGCTAGATCCCTGGAAGTGATCAATTTTCTACCATCCAGACTAAAAACTTTTAGCATCCTAAAGGCTGCTTTTTGCTTTGACCTAAGAGATGCATTTCATGTAAGATCCCAAAATAAATACAGTCCATTGAGGTGTGATTGCCTTTCTTCCTTCAGGAACAAACATGTTGCTGTTCTAGAAGGAGAGAATTCCACTTTCCACCCTGTTTTTGAGAAATCATATTACTGAAATTCAAGATAATCCCTTATCTGAAACCCTTGGTATGAGATACATGTTGTCCCGTTTTTGGAGTTTAGTACCTATACCACCTAATATGTAATACCTGAGTAAGGCCTAGGTTAGATTCCCAAAATCAACGTATTAATATTTTTTTGTAGTGAAACAAGAGTATTCCTACTAAGTAGGATAAAAGGCTGTAAATAGCTCTATGCCAGTTTAGACACGTTTGACGTCACATGACTTTTGCCACCAAACAAACGCACAGACCGCTTGGGTTTTTAAGCCTTTTGGATCTCAGAATTGCAGGAAAAGACTGTGGACCTGTGAGACACAAATAGGACGTTTGGGAGGAAAGGCCTTTAACATACACTTTGCATTAGATGACGAGAGATTCTTGCTTTTACTCCTCTTACGATTGTCCATTTTTCTATGACACCTTATTGTTCGTCAAACACACAGGTGTATTCCCATCTCGGCGCACTGGCTTTTCCACTGGGTGGCTTCCCATCGTTGCATGACTTACTCCCTCACCTCCTGGCAGGCTTTGCTCAAATACCACCTCAGTGAGTCTTTCCCTGACCACCTATTTCCCTAGCACTCCCTGCTATGTTTTTCTGCACAATGTATTTCTTGTTTATTCACTTCCTCTCTTTCCCTGAAACTACAATTAGAAGGTAAACTCCACAGAGATGGGGATCTTAGCTTTATTTACCCATTGCTGTATCTCTTGCATTTAGAACTGTGCCTGGAATATGGTGGGTACTGAGTACATGACCTATTAAAAGAGGAAGGGAATATTATTTGTTTCCATATACTTGGAAAAATATGCAAATATACATTCTCTTTTTTTTCTTTTTTGACCACGTATGAGTTTCTTTTAGGTGCTAGAGCTATAAGAGCAGCCAGGCTGATGCTTCCCATTTGCAGAGGGAGTTTGATGCAGGGATGAGTAGACAGGCAATAGGTAGGTCAAACAAGACGATTTCCAACGGTGATAAACGCTGTTACACTCTTGGAGGACAGTAACACAATACAGAGTAAGGATTTTTAGCTTGTGTGGTCGAGGGAAGGCCTGTGAGCTGAGCCATGAAAGACAGGAAGGAATCACCTGTGCAAAATTCTGGGGGAAGTACACTCCAGGCAGAAGGAACAGCAAATAGAAAAGCCAGGGTTGGTATTAGGAGAGAAAAGGTCAGTGTGGCTGAAGCACAAGGAGCAGGAGAAAGTACAGAGGAGGAGGAAGAGCAAGTGAATGGGGCCATGCCACAGGCTGTGACGAAGACTGTCAATACTTGAATAACAATGTAAATGAATTTCTATTTTAAAGGGATCAATTTTGCTCTTTATAAAGGATAGGAAGGGAACAAGGAGACCAGTTAGAAGTTTAAAACCATGGTCTCGACAAAAGTTGATAAATGACTCTTAAGATTTTGACTTGACCAAGTAAGTGGTTAGTAAAATGGGGAAAGACGGAGGTAGAAACAAGGTATCTTGATTTAATTTTGGTTTATGTTTTGAGAATTCGGGGAGTCCCACTGCCTGAGGGCTTTGACCTCCACAAAGAGGTCACGCTGGATAAATAAATTTGGGAATCATCAGCATAGGAAGCCAATGGAAGGTTAACAATGGACAAGGCACTAGGAGAGAAGCCAGATAGAGAAGAGAACATTAGTGCACTTGATACAAAGAACACATCAGACCATGAAGACTCTTAACAACTAATTTATTTTAAAATAAACTATTAATTGTAGAAAATAGTAACAAAGCAATTTTAAATGTACAGTTTTAACCAATACAAAAAAGCAATAAAGCAATACCTGAAGCCTTATGTAAGTAATCTCAATATATGATCTCTGAAGTTCCTAAAACTCTGGCACTAACTCTAACGTAAACCTTTATTAGCTAAAGACCCAGAAATATGGTAGCCCTTGACCTAAAAGCTAACTGATTTGTATGATGTTCATGCAGAAACTAATGAGGAAATGGGAGAAAGCTTTCTAGTGCCTTTGTTATCAAGATAACAAGTTTGAAACTTAACCGAGCACAAAATAAAATGTCATTTTCTAACAAATAAGACCAGAATTCTTTTTAAAAAGAATTCTGGGTAGACAAAGTGATTTTTCCTAAAAGCTAGCTGATGCTACCTTAAATATCACCTAATTTAAATTATACCATCTCTAAATAAGTTAATCACACAAGATAGTTTAAATACACCTTTAGGTGCTGGGGGGGGGGGGGGAGTGCCTCTTTTTCTAATGTAGCTGTTTTAAGTTGAAGCTTTTGCACAAAATCAGATAGAAACATGAATGCCTAACCCAAAGACCTTTGATTACTTGCAATTTTGGAGTGGAAATGATGTGGCTTTGAATATGCCAGTGTTAGACCATACTGACTTAAAAAAAAAAAAAAAGATAAATAGACAATTGCCAGCTCAAAAGATACATGGAAGACATGTACAATTCCCGAGAAAACACACCCCTTCCCAAGTTTAGGAGGGCAGAATAATTGCTGAGATG